CAGAGAATCCACCTGGACAGGTCAGATCTCACACATTACAGAGAGAGAGAGAGAGAGAGAGAGAGAGAGAGAGAGAGAGAGAGAGAGAGAGAGAGAGAGGCGCTCCCAAGTGTTTACTTTCTTTGCTTTAATGAACTAACATTATTTCCCCTCTGGTTCTTACTATACAAGTAAAGACATGTTGCTGTATGTATTTGTTTCCTAGGACTGACATAACATAATGCCACATCATGGATGACTTGAACAACAGAAATTTATTTTCCCACAGTTCTGGAGGCCAGAAGTCCAGGATCAAGGTGACAACAGGTTTGTTTTCTTCTGGAGCCTCTCATGGCCACCGCCAACTGTCCACAAATAGCCTTTTCTCTGATAAGTGTACATGAAGCCTAGCCAGAGGAAGTGAATCTATGGGTGTTGGACTTCACTTCCTGTGCTGACTTGTCCTATGGGTCTGTGGAGCAGCTTTGAGTGCTCCAGTGCTGTGCCTTTCCCACCATGATAGACTCTGCTCTCAAAAAGTAAGCCAAACCTTTCCTCACTTAAGTTTTTTCTTGTAGCTGCTCTTTCTTGTCAGACTTTCTTTAGGGCCACCAGCCCCAAAATTAATGACATGGAGCCTTGTATTAATTATGAAAGCTTGACCTTAGCTTAGACTTGTTTCTAACTAACTTTTATAACTTAGATTAACCCATTTATATTAATCTATATTCTGCCACTTGTCTTTTTACCTTTCCTCCATTCTGTATGTCTGACTCCCTTCATGTCTTGCTAGTGTCTTTAAAATCCATATGACTGTCAGAAGGTTGGGGCATGTTTCACCTTGGACATTTTCCTAACTGGGGTCTCTTTTGTATGCACCATTGATCTTGGTGTCTGTTTTCAGAATTTCAAGTTTTTTCAAATTGCATTTGCTGTGATTTACCTAAGTATCCTTCAGAGCCCACGTGTTAACAGTCCCCAATTCATAGTGCTTTGGAGAAGTTGTAGACACTTTAAGAGGTATATAGTCAGAAGTTTTCCTGTGCTTGCCTGGCACCGAGGTCCCACAGCCACTTATAAAATTCCTGTGTCCCACCTGGTCCTGCAACTGCTTAGACCCAAGTAAACACACGGAGCCTTATATTATTTTTAAACTATGGCCATGGCGGGCTTTTTGCTAGCTAGCTCTTACATCTTAAATTAACCCATTTCTATAAATCTATACTTTGCCATGTGGCTCTTGGCTTACTGGTATCTTTACATCTTGCTTCTCGTGGCAGTACTAGCAGCATCTCCTCTGCTCTCTTTTCTTCTTTCCTATCTCTCCAGTTAGAATGTCCTGCCTAACTTTATTCTGCCTCACCATTGGCCAAACAGCTTTATTTATCAACCGATCAGAGCATCATATATTCACAGCACACAGAATGACATCCCCATCAGAGGGTTCTTCCAGTCATTGGGGAATATAATCTTAGAGGGGACACAGGAACTCTGGCTTCTTCTGTCAAGTCCCTGCCATGTGTTGAGTAGTTTTACCACCCACTGCCACCATGGTTACAGCAATAGAGAGCTGACAGATGGAGCGTGTCTGCAGCACATGGTTCCTTTCTCATATGAAGGATAGCTCATCATATTGGAATACAGATACTGCATAGTGTGCCCTTTTCCGAAGATGTGGAATTCTGTTCCCTAGAGATAGCTCATGTAGATGTAATTCTGAACAGTCTTATTAAATAAGAAACACAGAGCCAAATGCAGAGTTAAAAGCCCAGAGATTGAGCAGCAGCCAAGAGCTAAGACCAAGACCTCCTTCTTACCCCTCACTGTCGCTGTCGTCCTTCCCCTCAGAAAGAGACCTACTTCCTGTGTGTCTGTCTTTTTATTGACTTTCTCTCCTGCCTTCTCATTGGTTATAAACCCAACCACATGACCTCCTTATCACTGCCTGTCTATACAGACCTCCAGGTCTCTATGGTTGGTATTGAGATCAAAGGTGTGTGTCTCCAAGCTGACTGTGTCCTTGAACATACAGAGATTCTGCCTGTCATGTGATTGGGATTAAGGGCGTGTGCTACCACTGCCAGACTTCTGCTAAATGGCTTGCTATTAGCTCTGACCTCCACACAACTTTATTTATTAACATACAAATAAAAGCACATTTCAGCACAAATAAAATGTCACCATAAGCTCACTGATATTCAGAGAAATAGTTGGACATATTCAAAGGCATAAAATAAGAAATTCAAAGAGAGGAAATAGGGGAAAAAAGAGTCAGATTTGATAGAAATAAAAAGAGGAAGAAGAGCCAGTGAGATGGCTCAGCAGGTAAAGGTGCTTGCTATCAAACCTGATGATCTGTATTTGACTGCTGGGTCCCATGGTAGGAGGAAAAACTTGCCTCCCGAAAGCTGTCTTTTGATCTCCTCCACAAGTATGCCATGGCATGTGCATCCACACACACGGATAAATAATCAAAAAAAAATTTTTTTAAACTTTTAAAGATGAGGAAAATCAGAGCAGGGAACAGAATACAGGAAAGAAAAAATACATAGAACTAAAAACAGTAATTGCAATACAGCAATGCATGCCTTGGGCATTTATGTTGTTTTCCATGTGATCATATGTAATTTCATGTTAATGGTTATATTTTCCCCTCTAAACAGAAAGGGAAGATGATGTTCAAAGACAGTCATTGGCTTGTCCGATATCAGAATTAGTGAGTGGACAATATTAGGGTCAAAATTCATGCCTTATGCATATATGTAACCTTATGCTCAGATAATTTCTGTCATTAGTTTATATCAACATATTGCATACTTAATAATATGTGCTATTAACCTCTGAACTGGAACCAAAGTTGACTGTTGTTGGCACTTAAGAGAATAAGTCCAGCCAGGCAGTGGTGGCACCCGCCTTTAATCCCAGCACTCTGGAGGCAGAGGCAGGCAGATCTCTGTGAGTTCGAGGCCAGCCTGGTCTCCAAAGTGAGTTCCAGGAAAGGTGTAAAGCTACAAAGAGAAACCCTGTCCTACTAATAATGGAGTAAGCGCAACAAAGCCTTGCTCTGGTTTCCAGAAAGGAGCAAACCATACAATAAATTACTCAAGCATCCAAATGTGGATGGTCCATTATTCCTTAGGACACCTTGCTCACCTCCAGTTTTTCTCTTTCTTAGGACAGAGTCTGGCTGTATAGCCCACACTGACCTGGAACTTGTGGCAATCTTCCTGCCTCAGTTTCCTAAGCACTGGGATTACAAGCATGCACAGTCATGCCTACCTTTTAGAGCTCCTTTTGTTGAGAAAGCTTAGACAATAAACCATGATTTGTTTGGCTTCAAATCTAGAGATATGATGTATAGAGAGGCCCATGTTTCTTCGAAAACACTCCAGAAAAGATCCTTCCATTTCCTAAACATATCTGTGTGTCATCTCTCTTAGGCTTTTTATTGTTGGTTGGTTCTTTCATTGGTTGTTGTTGTTGTTGTTTGCTTGCTGACTACTAGTAGTCTGTACCCCATACCCCCTCCCTGCCTTGTTCAGGGCCTCCCATGGATATCAGCCAGCCATGGTATATCAAGTTGCAGTGAGACCAGGCACCTCCTCGCCTATTAAGGTTGAATGAAGCCGTCTGGTAGGAGGAGTGGATCCCAAAAGCAGGCAACACAGTCATAGACAGGCCCTGCTCTCACTGTTAGGAGTCTCACATAAAGACCAAGTTGCACAACTGTATCATATGTGCAGAGGGCTTGGTCAGTTCCATGCAGACTCCCTGGTTGTTGGTTCAGTCTCTGTGAGCTCCTATGAGCCCAGGTTAGTTAGTTCTTTGGGTTTTCTTGTGGGGCCCTTGACACCACTAGATTCTACAATCCTTCTGCGTCCCTTCCACAGGATTCCCAGAGATCTGCCTAATGTTTGGATGTGGGTCTCTGTATCTGTTTCCATCAGTTGCTGTGTGAAGCCTCTCTGATGACAGTTGACCTAGGCATCAATCTATAAGTATAGCAGAATATCACTAGAAGTCATTTCATTGATTTTTTCCCCATTTGTGTTTGGCTCTATCCTAGATCTCTGGGTTATCCTGACTCTGGGTTTTGGCCCTCAGGGGTGAGTGACCTCTCAGGGTATGGGTCTGTCATTAGTTGGTCACTCCCACGATTTCTACACCAACTTTACCCCAGCATATCTTGTGGGTAGGACAAATTGTAGGTCAAAGGGTTTGTGGCTGGGTTGGTGTATTAGAAGCCTTGCCTGGTTATAGGGGATGGCTTGTTCAGACCCCGTATTCCCCATTGCTAGGAGTCTTAGCTAGGGTTGTCCTTATAGATTGTTGTGAGTCTTTCTTTGCTAGGGTCACCCTCATAGATTGCTGGGAGTTTCCATTGCTCTAGGTTTCTAGCTCATCCCAGAGATGTCCCTAGATTCCAGTTTTCTCTCCCTGTACTCTCTCCCTCCATCTTCACCCCACTTGATCCCTGCTATTCCCATCCCCATTCCCCCTCCCAGACCCACCCCAGTCCACTGGCAATATCCATTATATTTCCCCTTCACAATGAGATTCTTGCAATACCCCCGCCTTCACTGCCAGCCCTCTTTGTTACTTAGCTTCTCTGGGTCAACATGTTATTTACTAACTCATAAGTGTATATTAACTGTAAAGCAAAGGAGAAACAACATCCTCTCCTTTTCTTTTCTTTTTTTTTTTTTTTTTCGAGACAGGGTTTCCCTGTTTAGCTTTGTGCCTTTCCTGGAACTCACATGGTAGCCCAGGCTGGCCTGGAACTCACAGAGATCTGCCTGGCTCTGCCTCCCAAGTGCTGGGATTAAAGGCGTGCGCCACCACCGCCCGGCCCTCTCCTTTTCTTAATAAATGTCGTCAACTCAATACCAGCTTGGACTTCCAGTCAAAGCATCTGTTGTGGGCTGTTTTGCAGGATGTGTTGGCCTGAGGGAAGGTGACTGGTTTCAGAGCCAGCTCAATCCAGCTATTTTACCTTGTAGTGAGAAGTATCACAAGCAGCCAGAATGAAAGGGTGATAGATAAGCTTCCTGTAAATTGTTGGATTTAGTCACTGTAATGATGAAATCTGGCAGGTAATTGCCTAACCCCATCCAAAGAGGGGGAAAATGTTTACGGAAATACCAGTCTATTTCCTCCCTCACTAGCTCTGGCTGGCTGAAGTGGGGATGGACACACACACACACACACACACACACAAAACAAACCAGAGTTCAAAAAATATAATTATATAAAGTAACTGTCTGGAAATTTACAAGGCTAGGAATCACGTGAGCAGAAAGACTAGGATTCCTGTGGACAGACTCACCACTGTTCTAAAACAACCATGAATCCATGAAACACTGGCTTGATTCTTATCTTGCCCCAGCCACTGCCTAGACAGCCCCATTCTGGGGACTCATTTTTCTCAACTGCAGCCTTGGTCTGGGATGCTGCTGAGTGACAAGGGGGCACTAAAATTAATACTAACTAATCCAGAGCATGTGGAAAAATAACCATGTTGGGTAAATACTAGCCTGTTCTAGGAAGTCAGTCATCATCAACAAGCAGATAAATCGGTCAGTGCTTATATTACCTACAATCAATTATTTCTTAGTGTGATCAGGGTAATTGACTAGTACATTCATTGTCCTAAAATATCCATATGAAGGGGACTCTCTTGAATTACTTTGACCATTTTCCTTGTAAGCAAGATTATAAAAAGCTGATATGTTTGTGATTGACTTTTTTTTTTTCTTTTAGGGGCTGGGTGTAAAATTCAGTGACTTGTGCATGCTCAGCATGCACTGTACTCTTAGCCCTTGAATTATTATAAAAGTATTTTTGTTATTGTTTTATTTATTATACTGACTCATTTATTGTGGGGGCACACCACATACATACTGTGAAATCAGAACAGGAGCCACATTGTTGTTAAGTCCCCATACCTTCTAAGAATCGGTTTCTATTTCTCATTAAGAATAAGTTTCTGTTTACTAAACATGTTTTTCAACCAGCACCAAACTCATGACCCCATGATGTATGATTGCCCTTTGCCTTATAAAAATATGTTTTCAAGACCTTGATCTATACCTTGACCACCTGCCCCATAATGTATGACTCCCCTTCCACATGATGTATATTTTTTGCTTTTATTACCTTTCATTGTATTTTTTCTAATAGCCAATTATCTCAACCCTGGAAACACACTTACAGCTGTTTTCTATTAACCTTTAGATTTTCTTCATAAAAGGGACCCAAAAAGGCCAGTAAGGGGCTGATCTCTCAAATCCAGACTTAGGGTGAGACAGCCAGCAGGCCAGTTCTGGGTACACCTCTAAACTAAAGCTTGCTGTAGCCAGACGGTTGTAGATTTAGTCATTCTCTTCTTGTGTCCTGGTTTAATAATACCAAAGAGCTCATGGGGTAGTCAGAGGACAACTGATGAGAGTCTGTTCTCTCCTTCCAACAAGTGAGTCTCTGTGTAGAACTCAGGCCATCGGGCTCTGTGTTCTGAGCCATCTACCTCCCCAGCTCCATGAGGTTTTATTTTAAAAAGCAAAACAAAAAACACTCACTGGAGCAGAAGAGATGGTTCAGGGGTAAAGAGCACTTGCTACTTTTGCAGAGAATCCAGGTTTGGGTCCCAGCACCCACAGAGCAGCTCACAATGGTCTGTAACTCTAGTTCTGGGGATCCAGTGCCCTCTTCTGGCCTCTATGGGTACTAAATAAGCAAATGGTGCTCAAACATACATGCCCCTAAATATTAATAAACAAAAAATAAAATAAGAACTTCAGGGTAAGAGAGTGGAATAGAAGCCACATCAGCTGGAGTAGCTGATTACAATTTAGAAAAAGGGGGAGCAGGAATATTTTATCATTCCATCAGCTGCTTCTTCAGACCTGGAATTGCCTTGCTCAACATCTCAAACAACCCTTTCTGCTATCTGGCCACAAACTTTATCTACAACAGGATCTGACTTGTTTTTCTGCCATAGGGGCATTTTCGTCCAGGCAAACTGGGCTAAAGGACTCTGACCAAGAACTCTACAAAAGCAGGGCCTAAGAGATTTCACAGAAGGGGCTCCCAGTGACTGCTTCCAAGGGCACCATCAGAACCCCAACAGGGAAAGGCAAAGCTGTGGGAGGTAAGCAAAAGTCTGAACACTGATTGGGGTACCATATAGCCACCAGCTGCTCCCAACTCTGTGGGGACACAGCAACTGAATCTGGACAGTTGATAGTCTCAGTCAAGAAAACATGGCTGACTGGATCTGTGAGCCCACAAGAGAAGAATGGGACTGTGTTTAAATGCAGCAGGAGCACAGACTGGACCTGGACCAAGACAGCAAAGCTGTGGTCAGCCAAGGAGAGGAAAGCAACATTCAGGCTAGTAATCTTATATTCCCACCCAGCTCTCCTTCCCCACTATAGCTATTCTTCATTAAAAAGTTTTATCTTCGTTTTACTTTATATGTGAGTGTTTTCTCTCTCTCTCTCTCTCTCTCTCTCTCTCTCTCTCTCTCTCTCTCTCTCTCTCTCTCTCTCTCTCTGTGTGTGTACTGTATGCATGCTTTGTGCCCATGGAGGTTGGAAGAGGGCATCTGGAAGGCTGCGAAGCACCATCTGGATGATGGAATCAAACCCGAGGCCTCTGGAAGAGCAACACTGCTCTCAACTGTGAAGCGGCTCTGCTGCTAGAGCTATCCTTACCTGCCTTATTCCATTGTCTCCAGCTCTCCCCACTCCCCTATAGCTGTCCTTATCTACATGATGAAGGAGGGCACTGAAGCAAGACAGCATGTCCCTACTGTTTGCACCTTCTGCTGTTTCACACACTTGTTCTGGTGAGCACCCCCACCCTTTCTCTGTCTCTGTCGTCAACTCTCTCTCTTTCATTTTCTTATTTTTCTCTCTTCCTCTCTTTTTCTTTTTCCATTTTCTTCCTTTCTCTTTCTTTCCCATACTTATTCTTCTTACTGTTACATCTCCCAAAGCCTGACCTCCCAGAGGCTGACCTCCTCCTTAACAGTCTACTATTAACCAAAATGCCACATAGCCACACTATTCTTCCTTTGCCTCAATTATTTCCACCCCTATGTATGTCCCTGCCCTCTACTTCCCACATAACCTAATACTCATCACTGGTCTCACGGTGGTTGTTTACCTCTTCTTCTTCGCTTTTCTTTTGCATTTATACTAACATATTACTATATGCAGTATCATTAGGGTTCCTTTACTCCCCACCTAATCAGTACCTACCAAGAGTTTGCTTTGAAGTCCCTGCTACTCTATTATCAGAGTGGGTTAACTACTGGGTTGTGATGGTTGCCGCAGACAGTACTCATCTCATAGGGGCAGAATGAAGATACAGCCAGATACCTAGAACTCCAGTCTAAGGGGCTGAAATATCATCACAACTATATTACACCCTGGTCTCTCTTGAGCACTGAAAATTAATCCACCAAAAGAAGAGAGGCAACCTGAATTAAAAGAACAAAACCAACAAGTCTTAACTAATGATCTAACCTCAGATGGGCAGATTCTAGTATAAAGACACAGTAAACATGAAAAAAAAAAGACAATCATCTCCAAAATTTATAAAGACCATACTAATGACCCCCAATAAAAAAATTACATAGATAAAATTCCAGAGGCATGTGTTGCTATTCTAACATATGACAAAATAGACTTCAAGCCAATTCTTTTATTATTATTATCATTAGTTTTATTTCATATTTTTCATATAATACATTTTGATCATGATTTCCCTTCCCCTAAGAAATAATAGTCCTTCCTTTACCCATAGCATGATATTTGTATTTTATTCCTCTCCAAAGGGAGGGGGGAATTTTGTACTGGTGATAAACTTAGCTGTTGAAAGATTGGCTATACACTAGCAGCATGTTATCTTACATTTAAAGGGGGTTCTGTCAACAGAGGAAGGAACCTAAATTGAGATGGGCAGTAAGGTTTAGTCAATGCTCTCCCATATCATAATTATTACATAATTATTAACTTCTCACTAATACAAATCTGACCATGTAGACTTGCTGAGCTACATGGTCATCAGTGGAAAGGGACCATAACAGAAAATATTGCTTGACATAGCAGGAGGCAGAGTACATGCTGTTCAAAGTTCTTATCCACGTGCTTGCCCTCAGCTAAAGTAATGATAGCTGATAAGAACTGAGATGTGATAAACTCTATGGCCCTGAAAATGCCACTGTAGTAAAACTTTACCCAGAAAGCTTAAATGCCAAGAATATTGACCTAGCAACCTTCAGACTGAGCCTCAAAGTATGAACCACATCAGAGCCCACATCAGAACCTAAAGAGCCTTAAAGGATGTGGCATCTGAGTCTCATCCAGGTGAGTTAATGCATTTTGAGCAAGTCCCAGGATTCTATAATATTGCTTTGTAACTAAAGTTTGAGAAACACCATTCCAGTTACTGATGATGCTTCCATAATTAAAACTTTTCAAACCTGGTAAGTAGCTGTAAAGCATACTGTATACGGATACCATAAGTACAGTGATTGGTTCCAGAACAGCTTCTCTCACCAGACTCAAGGATACCAGAATCTCCAGATAATCAAGCTCCTGCATAAAATGTTGTCATGTTTGAATTTATACTTCCACACATTCTCCTGTATCCTTTAAATCATTCGTTTAATATTTCATTCCTGCTGCGGTGACAAAACACCATGACTTATGGAAGAAACTTGTAGAAGGAGTTTATTCTGGCTTACCTTCCAGAGGGCTGAGACCGTCATATGGGCAGGAGACATGACAGCAAGTGGCAGGCAAGGCAGCAGGAACAGGAAGTGGAGAGATGACTTCAACACAAACGTGAAGCCGGAAGATTGAGCTGGAAGTGGGACGAGGCTATATAAACTCTCAGAGCCCACCCCTAGTGATGTACTTCCGCCAGCAAAGCTGTACTATTCCCAAAGCTGCACCTCAGCTGGGGACCAAGGGCCCGAACACCTGAAACTACAGGAGACATTATTCAGTCCACCACACTTGTTTGGGAAATAATGAGGAAAAAGGAGTCTGTACTGTTCAGTGCAGAAAGGATCTCACCCCTACAACAGTAGACGAAGGTACAGACACATATACACAGAGAGACATAAATACTTGTAGTTCATGGTTGAATGAATTCGTGAATGTGGAGTCTACAGGGAAGGAGGGCTAAATATATAATACGCTAAATTTAAAAGATCAGTGTAGAAATAGAAAAGACTAAAGAGACCTGTGTTCAACTCTCCTCTGCTGCATATACAACTGCGGGTATGTTTCTAAATCTCTCTGAACATTAGCTTCCACATACTTTAGGAAATCCGCGATTATAATTCCTAGCATAGCGGCCACTCCAAAACAGTCGCAAATTAGTCAGTCACTGTGACAAATCCTGAGAGAAATAAATTAAGGGAGGAAAGAGTCATTCTTGCTTCCTTATTTCAGAGGCTTTGGTCCATCGTGGCAGGGAGGTATGGCTCACATCATGGCAGCTAGGAAGCAGAGAATACCTGGGTTAGTGAGCTTCCTTTTTTCCTTCTTCCATCTAAAGACCCAGCATACAGGCTGTGCTCCCTCCATTCAAGGGAAGTTTTACTTCTTTGGTCAATCTTCTTGAGAAAAACCCTTATCAACACATACCTAGATGGGTGCTTTACTAATGTTCTACTGGTGCTTCTTAATCCAAGTTGACCTTAAAGATTAGCCCTCACAATAGGTATCTTGATGACAGCACACGTAAAGCTATATGAAATAGAATACTCTCCCTTGTTAGACTCTAGTATTAAAATTGTAAGAGCCAGGAGGCACATTTGGATTGACTGTAGTAGTAGCTCAGCACATCACCTTGGACTCCAATTGTCTGTGTTCAATTTTGAGCTGGTTCACTGTCTCACCACCAGCAGAGTAAATCAGAACACTTCCCATCTTACCAACAGGCATCTGTGATCTCATGGACACTTTCCACATACTCAGGCATAGATGTATCACCACTATGGTTATGATAATGCCCTACATGAAAAGTAAGCCAATGTGTCTTCCCCATTCTTCAGAATCCTACATTCCCATGCAGTCATTGTGGGCTTAGGTAGTAAGGTAGAAAAGAATGGCTTACTCCTTTGTAAACATATTGTTAAGAGTCCCAGTGGAGGATTGCTTTAGCCTACATGTTTAGTGACATAGTTTGCAGTTGCAGTCACTTAGATCCCTGAAGTTCTTTGGGTATTGAAATATTTTACTGTGGTGGTATTCTAATTGTACTGAAATGTGATTTTGATTGTATGTTAATAAATAAAGTTGCCCGGGGGTCAGAGCTATTAGAACCATAGACAGAGTGTGGCGGTGGTGGTGCACGCCTTTAATCCCATAGATCTCTGTGTGTTCAGGGATACAGCCAGCATTGGAGACATATGCCTTTAAGACCTGGGGGGCTGTACATACAGACAGTGACGAGGCAGTCACGTGTTTGGGTTTACAACCAATGAGAAGGCAGAAGGACTATGAAACGACTTACACACAGGGAAATAGCTCTCTTTCAGGAAGCTGGGACCACCGCAGGAGGAAGGGTGATATTTTAGCTCTGATCTCTTGACTTTCTCTTTTATATTGGTTCTGTGTTTCTTATTTAATAAGACGGTTGGTTACATCTACATTTTACGTGCTCTGAAATTTCAGGGTACTAAAATGCAATCCTAATTAGACTCAACAATAAAAACCCAGGGTCAGATATTGAGGGTGAAAGCTGAAAGATCAGAGAAGCAGAACAGCCAGTCACTAGAGACTTCTTACTTCTATGGAATCTTGTCTACTCTCATGTGAAGTGTTCCACCACACTCTACTCCCATGGACAGAATTATTCCTGTCAAACATGCCTTCTCCACCCTAATGGACTGAAATCCATCTGAAAATATAAGCAAAAATAAAGTCTTACCTTAAGTTGTCTCTGTTAGGTATTCTGATCAAAGCAATACAAATTTAACCCAATCAGGAGAATAAAAAAAAAATATACCAGAATGGTGGGTTCATTTCTGTGACAAAACCTTACCATGTGGTTCTTAAGACTTTGGAGTTAATCTGCGTGAGGCATCTGGGAGAACTTGAAATTTTAGGCTAGAGGAGTCCTAATATGCTGTGAGTTTTGCTTAATGATCCATCTTGGTGAGAAAGCAGAAGACCAGAATACCAACAGGAATGTGGGCAGAAAAGGCTGCTCATTAGGTTCAGATGGTGTGGTGGTTTGAGTGTAATTGGCCCCCATAATCTCATAGGGAGTGGCACTATTAGGAGGTGTGGTTTTGTTAGAGTGGGGATGACCTTGTTGGAGGAAGTATGTCACTGTAGAGGTAGGCTTTGGGGTTTCCTGTGCTCAAGATACTACCCAGTGTCTCAGTTGACTTC